GAAGTCATGGATGGAGACCAAATTGTGCGGATTTTCCTGCAGCTGCTAGGAGAAGGCCCAATAAGGGAAATGTACTAGAATTTGGGGTAGTAATAAAAATTTGTTGAAATTCTCATGAATTGGAGTAAGTTAAGAATCATGCTATTGCTAAGATAAAGCCAATATCTCCAATACGGTTATAAAGGATCGCTTGTAGGGCTGCTGTGTTTGCATCTGTTCATCCGTATCATCATCCGATGAGGAGGAAGGATATAATACCCAATCCTTCTCATCCAATAAAAAGCTGGAATAGGTTATTAGCGGTGACTAAAATTAATATGGTGATGAGAAAAATTAATAAATATTTTAAAAAGCGGTTGATATGGGGGTCTGAATGCATATATCATATTGAGAATTCTATGATGGATCATGTGACAAATAGGGATACTGGTATAAAAATTGTGGAGAAATAGTCTATCTTGAAGCTTAGGTAAAATTTTATAGTTTGAATAGTCATTCAGTGTCAGTTAGAAATAATTGTCTCTTGGTTTATGTATAAAATATGAATATTGGAATTAAGCTTGTTACGAATGTGCAGGCAATAGAGTTTTTTACATAGTAAGGATATATATGTATTTCGTATTTTTTAGTTGTTGTAATAATAAATGGGGTAATTAAGAGAGTAAGTGATAATAAAATGGAGGATGAGAATAAATTTATTACTTTTATTTGGAGTTGCACCAATTTTTCGGTTCCTAAGACTGATGGATTACTTCTATCCTTTAAAAGTAAGAAAGCCATATTGTTATATATGGGGGCATGAGTTAGCAGTTCCTGCATACTTTCTTGGTAAATAAGAAAATTTTGGGTTTCTATTATTAGATTCACAATCTAATGTTTTGTTTAAACTATATTTACAGTATATGGTTCCTATAATTAGTTTGGGGTTAGTGGATAGTAGGATTAGGGGTAGTAGGTGTATAATTATTAATGTGTTTTCTTGGGTGAAGGGGGGCTTAATACTGTTGATGTGGTATGTATATTTTCCTCGATATACAGGGATCCCCAAATCCCCAAATTCAGGTGGCAAGTTTTCTTTTTTAATTAAGAATTTTTAGGTAAAGCTGTGCTTTGAATGTTAAGATGACTCTAGCTCTGGGTTGGGTTATAGGAGGGTCTGACCAAGGACTTTGCTTGAGAATCATTCTGTCCTCCTCTGTTCACCTGTTGATTTGTCTTCTTATCACCTGACCCTGAACTTGACCAAAGGTAGATCCAGGTTTAGCCCTAGAGACTTAGCCTTTCATGATCCCCATGAACATGTCTTGGCCATGTTCAGAGATGCCTGCAGTGAGCCAGCTGGTTCCAGAGGAGAACAGGTCTCTGGCAGTTCTTAGTGATGGAAGACAACCTAGATGCCATGCTTATTTTCAACAAAGAGCCAAGGTCCAAGAAGACCAGAGAAGGGTTGCCTGAAGTGTCAGCATGCTGGGTCAGACTTCCCAGGAGTGAATGACCTAACTCTCCCAAGCAGAAGAACCTGACTCCTGCTAAGCACCAAAGGTTACCCCATGCCCCAGACTGGCTTGCAGGGTCTACAGGAGTGAGTCAGTCCAAGGCCAAAGCTTCATATCACCAGTCCTTCATGCCAGGGGCTGGGAGCATAACCAGAGACCTAGGCATACTTTCATGCACCTTAAACATTTTTTCCCTCAAAAACACCTGCACCCACTCTCAACCACCCCTTCCTTGTATCTTCTGTCCTGCCTGTCTCCTGTCAGGAGCCGCAATTCCTAACAGAAAGCAAAGTAAGGGTTACCAGAAAATGGGGAAAAACGCTGGCTGGGAGCAAGGCA